CCCCTGTTGATCCCTGGGGTGGGGTGTTTTGCCTGTGTTATGCTGTACCCTTTGTGCATATATCTTCTTTTAATAAATCATTTGGTTTAGGATACTACTTGTCATTTGAAGATCCTTACCATTTGGTAAGGGAACTGGCACACTTGTCTGTGAGGTGGAATGGGATTCTTACATGTGGATTTTCAAGATTTCACAGTTGGACTTTCATATATTTTTCTTTGAAGTTTTGTTATGCACACAAGTTAATTATTTATTATATGATTGTTATTTCATCATATATGTGATGCGCATTATTTGTTAAGGTTTAATATGAAATAACATTTTTTTTTAAATATTTTTTTTCACAGATATAACTTTGTAATGATCACTACAGAGATACTGGTTTTGTGCACCTTTTAGATTAATTATCTGTATTGCTATTACACTTTCAGCAACATCAGTACTGTATGCTATGACCATAGAACTCCTTTACCAGCTGTCCAGATATGATATCAGCTACATGGGGAATTCTCTTTCATCGTTATTTGGTTAGCTCACATCAATGAACTGCTGTCTACCCTGTTTATATAAAATAGAAATGTAGTATTTTGTGCATTTACGCACATTAAGGAAACCCTTTGAAATAAATAGGAAATGCACCAAAACACATATATCATGCATTTTAGGGTGTTTTTGCTGATTGGCATTGTGGGAAATGTCAATTATCAATGCTTCTCCCTCACTTTGCATTAACAACAACCATGCATTTAAATTTCGCCTAAGCTGCAGAGAAACATGCATTAGCATGCAGCGAAGGGCATCCAAACACATTACATATGTATAGGGGTGCTTAAGAGCCCTTTCGCAGACTGATAAGATTATTTCCATAAAGCTGATCTGTTTCATGTGGCTATTAAATCACACAATACAGTATACACTTCCTATAATTTGTGGGTTTATGGACAAATTAAATCAAGCACTTAGTCATTCAGCCTGGCCTTTTACATACTAAGAAAAGGTGTTACAAATAGCATGTTTTGTACTCTACAGTGCACTATACTAAAAGTTATTTAAAATTACTACACATGATTTTAAATGCTTGATAATACACATAATCCACTAATGTCACCTTTGGAGAAAAAAAAAAAATCGTGTTTATTCAATAAAATAAAGCAAAGAGCAATGATAATTTGCAATGTACAGTAAATGGTTCTGATGGGTTTCTTATGGTGTGCACTTAGTACCAATTAGATAGGGTAACAAAGTATAATAATTTATTAGGGAACCTCTTGGTACATGAGCACAGGATGCCCAATTTCTATATAAAGTAATGATTTACAGAACATGTTCCTGCTACACTGATTGGTATGTAGCACACTGACAGCCACCTACGCTGCACCTGGTTTCCCTCTGGCTCTTCATTTTTGTTGACCTTTAAAATACATTTTTCAACTATGCTGTATTATTAACTCCTGAACAACATAAAGGATTGATACATTTCAGAAAATATTGTGAAAATATAAGTTTATAGTAAAATTGGCCAACAAAGACGACGTACATTTGGCTGCATTGTAAATCAGACTGAACTTCAAGCATAGAGCTAAAATAGAAATGCAATACATGATTTGTATTTTGAGATTTGCACAGCTCTGCCAAACAGTGCAGCCATATTTGATAGGGCACTAAACCCAACTTTTCTCTGCTGTACTTAATGTGATATTAAAGGCTCCTTTTTCAAATAAATAAAATCACAACATACTTACCGTATTTTTCGCCGTATAAGACGCACCTGACCATAAGACGCACCTAGGTTTTAGAGGCAGAAAACAGGAAATAAAAAAATTCTGAACTAATGGACTGCAGACACAGTACAGGAGATGACCAGAGACTGCGGACAGCACAGGGATGACCAGAGACTGCGGACAGCACAGGGATGACCAGAGACTGTGGACAGCACAGGGATGACCAGAGACTGCGGACAGTACAGATGACTGCTGACCTTTGGGGAGGTGGGGAGCGGGTACCTGAATTTGACAGGTACCCGCTCTTACTTCCGCGGAGTTGTTCTTTCATCTTACCTGTTCCTCGATCCAGCCGCGTGCTGTCTTCCCGGCTTCTGTAATGGCGCTCGGCATGACAGCCGGGTGCCCAGTGCGCATGAGCGAGAAGCACTTGCGCTTTGTGATTGGTCCGGCGGCTTCTGGGATCTGTCATGTGTCCCAGGTACCGCCTTACCATTCACAAAAAGCACCGCTTCTTGCGCATGCGCACTTGGCACCCGGCTGTCATGCCCAGTGCCCACACTACAGAAGCCGGGAAGACAGCACGCCGCTGGATAGAGGAACAGGTAAGGTCCCGCTGCAGAGCTGAGCGGCGGCCCGGTATTCTGACACGGCCGCGGTGGAAATACCGGACCGGCCTCTCCATATTCGCCTTATAAGACGCACTGACATTTCCCCCCCAGTTTTGGGGAAGAAAAAGTGCGTCTTATACAGCAAAAAATACGGTACCTGTTATGTGCATTGGGTTTTCACAGAACAGCCCTGATCCTCCTCTTCTCAGGTCCCCTGCTGGTGCTCCTTGCCCCTCACTTTTGTTGAGTGCTCCCTGAGTAAGCTATTTGCTCTGGTGGCACTTATGAATGCTTGCTCCCAAGCTATAGGACACACAGAGCAAGGCTTGGCCCCAACCCTCGCTCCTGGCTAGCTGAGATTGACAGCATTGAGAGACAATGGCTCTCGCTGCTCTGTCTCAGCCAATGAAGAGAGAGACCCGGGAGATCTGAGGCTTCTCTGTACAGCGCTGGATCAAGTTTGGGCTCAGGTAAGTATTAGGCTGCATTCGTACTTGAGCAATTTGTAGCTTAAAGCTCCAAAAACGCTCAAACTTAAAAAATAATTTGTTTTCTATGGTGCCTGTTCTTGCAGGTGAGAACAGGCACCATAGAGAACAATTGATTTTTTAAGTTTTTGGAGCTTCAAGCTACAAATCACTCAAGTGTGATTGCAGCGTCATGGGGAGCTGTGGGGGGAGCAGCACACAGAAATTTTTTACCTGAATGCATGAAGGCAAAAACCTTTCAGCCTTTAGCCTAGATTCACACTACTGCGGTGCGGTAAATCCCATGTGATTCGCACAGGAACCGCCCCACATTCCTGTACAAATCACATGTGATTTGTATGTGGTGTGATCAGAGCCATACATTTTTGTATGGCTCTATTTGCACCGCACCCTCACCAAAAACGTGCAGGACCCTTTTTTTGGTCCGCACTAAAATCGTATCGCATGGGTATTCACACCTATGTGATCCGATTCTGCACATCACACAGCGTTTTGCGGACCGATGTCAGGGTGTTGTTAACATACACACCCGCATCGGTTCATATGAATGGGGTGCGATTGTGATGTGGTGTAGAATTTGCATGGAAAACGCTGCGAATTCCGCACCGCATCAGTGTGAACTAGGACTTACAACCACTTTAAGTAACATTTGCAGGTCAGCCTGTGACTGGACAGGAAAAGGAGACTCAGCAGACTGATGAGCTTATCTCTCTGTTATTCTGATCTTTCCCGCTATCTGCATGTTCCTTGTTAGGACATGAGCACTGCCTTTGTTTTCTGCTTCTTCCTCTCTCTGTCTGATTTCTGTTCTATAGGGACTATAGGCTAATAACAAGTCAAATTTAGGTACTTACACTGCTTGCATTTAAAAAAAAAATAGAGATTGCAAGATCTGCAATAACCACTTCATATCTACATTCAGAGTATGGAAAATTAAAAACAAGCTCATGGCTGAAGTAGCAACTAAAAACGTGCATGTATTTTATTCAGCTAGCACCTGGCTTTTATGTAAAAGTGAAATGGGCAGCTTTAGAGCAGCTTAATCATTTTTACAATGCATGCAGTGTGTCGTGTCCTTGCGAACCTCCCCTTCATGGTTTCCAAGCTCTCCCGCTTTTCCCAGAGGCCCGCGTCCACATCTTTCTGTGTCAATAAAGCCGGAAGCATTCAGCCCTGAGTGTTTACAGTTTCAGAGCTGTCCTTTCCTGGTTACTGTGCTTGGCAAAGCAGCTAATCAAGCATGATCTGTGCATGATTAGCTGCCTTGGAGGGAAGGGAAGACACCAGGGTTCTAAAAGACCCCTGATGTCTCCATAAAGAGGACCTGTCACCTGCACAATGCTTTATAGCAATAAAGCTAAATGAAAAAGTAAAAAAATAAAATAAAATTATATATATATATATATATTTTTTTAAATAAAACTAAAATATAACTTGAAAGTAAGCCCATCACACACACCCACAAATGCAAACACTGCACGGGGTGCGCACAAACAAGGATTGCACCACCCGTGTTCTATATTGTATCACCACAAATGTTGTGGTGTGAGCAATAATTCCAGGACCCTAATTTACATTTTATTCTAAAATAGTTTTTCACCATTTTGCTGGCGCATGCTGTTTGAAGGCTTGAAACTTTTGGCATCTATTTATTCAACACTACCTCATTTTTTATGTTGTACAAAAAAGTGGGGATTAAATTGGGTTTGTGTGCAATATTCATTTTAGTGTACAAATATTGTGCAGGATAAAAAAATTTAAAATACTACATTTTTATTCTGCAAAGGCTCTGCATTAAGCAATGATATAATGTTTGGGGAGTTTTTTAAATCCTTCTATAATCAAAAATGCGGCCTTTAACATGTGAAAAAAGATACCTAAGCCATTTCTGGCACCTTTAACATTCAAAGGCTAATCAGTTTAAACAGATAGGTCAGAGAGAATACAGTTAAGTTTTTCTGTAGATTAAATGTAAACCAATACACTTTTAGGCCTTTTATATTTTAGTATAAACTATGACAGTTGTAATTACTGATGACTTTCTTTGCAAATATATATTGCTTGGTAAATACCGTATTTTTCACTCCATACGACACACTTTTTTCCCCCCGAAAAAGGGGGGAAAATGTCAGTGCGTCTTATGGAGCGAATATGGAGCGGCCGGTCCGGTATTTCCGTTGCCGCCATCGTGTCAGAATACTGGGCCGGCCGCTCAGCTCTTCTCTGCAGCAGGACCTTACCTGTTCCTCGGTCCAGCGCTGTGCAGTCTTCCCGCGCCGGCAACTTTAGTGTGGGCACCTGGCTATGACAGCCGGGTGTCCACTGCGCATGTGCGAGAAGCTCTGCGCTTTGTGAATGGTCCGGCGTCTTATGGGACACATGACAGGTCCCAGAAGATGCCGGGCCATTCACAAAGTGCAGCGCCTCTCGCTCACGCGCAGTGAGCACCCAGCACAGCCGGGTGCCCGCACTAAAGGTAGGACAACTCCGCGGAAGTGGGAGCGGGTACCTGTCAAATTCAGGTACCCGCTCCCCCTCCCTCCCCAAAGGTCCGCAGTCTCTGGTCATCTCCTGTGCTGTCCGCAGTCTCTGGTCATCTCTTGTACTCTCCGCAGTCTCTGGTCATCTCCTGTACTCTCCGCAGTCTCTTGGTCAACCCCTGTACTGTCCAAAGTCTCTGGTCATCTGTACTGTGTCCGCTGTCTCTGGTCATCCCCTGTACTGTGTCCGCAGTCTCTGGTCATCCCCTGTACTGTGTCCGCTGTCTCTGGTCATCCCCTGTACTGTGTCCTCTGTCTCTGGTCATGCCCTGTACTGTGTCCGCAGTCTCTGGTCATCTCCTGTACTGTGTCCGCTGTCTCTGGTCATCCCCTGTACTGTGTCCGCAGTCTCTGGTCATCTCCTGTACTGTGTCCTCAGTCTTTGGTCATCCCCTGTACTGTGTCCGCAGTCTCTGGTCATCCCCTGTACTGTGTCTTCAGTCTCTGGTCATCCCCTGTACCGTGTCCGCAGTCTCTGTTCATCTCCTGTAGTATGTCCGCAGTCTCTGGTCATCTCCTCTACCGTGTCCACAGTCTCTGGTCATCTCCTGTACTGTCCGCAGTCTCTTGGTCATCTCCTGTACTGTGTCCGCAGTCACTTGGTCACCCCCTGTACTGTCCGCAGTCTCTGGTCATCTGTACTGTGTCTGCAGTCTCTGGTCATCCCCTGTACTGTGTCCACAGTCTCTTGTCATCTCCTGTACTGTGTCCTCAGTCTCTGTTCATCTTCGGTGCTGTGTCCGCAGTCTCTGGTCCTCCTGTACTATGTCCGCAGTCTCTGGTCATTCCCTGTACTGTGTCCGCAGTCTTTAGTTATCCCCTGTATTATGTCTTCAGTCTCTGGTCATCCCCTGTACTGTGTACACAGTCTCTTGTCATCTCCTGTAGTATGTTCGTAGTCTCTGGTCATCTCCTGTACTGTGTCCGCAGTCTCTGGTCATCTCCTGTACCGTGTCCGCAGTCTCTGGTCATCTCCTGTACTATGTTCGCAGTCTCTGGTCATCTCCTGTACTGGGTCTGCAGTCTCTGGTCATCTCCTGTACTGTGTCTGCAGTCCATTGGTTCAGAATATTTTTCTTCTTGTTTTTCTCCTCTAAAACCTAGGTGCGTCTTATGGTCAGGTGTGTCTTATGGAGCGAAAAATACGGTATATAATATTGTTTACTTTATTAGCTTCTTTTACAGGTACCTTGGCATATTAAAGCGGAACTTTACCCAAAAGGGGATGTTCCACTTATTTGTATCCTTCTTCCCTCCTCCTTAGCAATTGGCACTTTTTTGGGAGATTAGGGGGGGATCGGGTATCTGGTTTTGACAACTACCTGCACCCACCTCCGATTGGATCACCTCGGTGAATTGAGCAGAAGTTTTGCCTTCCCCTCCTTCCTCTGCAACCTTGTGGGACACATCACAGGTACCAGAAGGCTGAAGGACCATTCGCAAAGTGCAGTACAGCTCGTGCATGCATCAGTGGGAAATTGGCTGCGAAGCCCCAAAGCTTCACTACCAGTTTCCCTCAGTTAAGATGCCAGCTCCAGGAATCCAAAGCCGACTGAAGAATTGAAGAATTGTCGCGGGTGAGGGCAGCGCTGGATCCCTGAACAAGTAAGTGTCCTTATATTAAACGTCATCAGCTACAGTATTTGTAGCTGCTGACTTTGAGGGGAGACTGGAGCACACCTTTAATGCTGAACAATAGGGAAATTTTCAAAAACTGCACTGCAAGGGTTAAATGCTAATTGTTGCCTAGGGTGGCTGTTTAAAGCACTTTTACTTAAAGTAAAACTATACTCACTTCGGCTCCAGCTATGTGGTGACCTGCTGATCCCCGCCCGGCTGCTGATATCTTCAGGTGGCTGGCTTCCAGGTCTCTGTTGCTCGATGCTGTCATTGGCCAGGTGTGATGATGTCACTCCCATGCATACATGGGAGTTCAGGCAGATTCGGCATTGCGGAATTTGTACAGTGAGCTGCGCATGCACTGCTCACTGTACAGGTGCGGGCAGGCAGGTAAGTCTCTTCTGCATTCAAATTACTGCCTTTTTTTTTACATAGAGTTCCACTGCTGAGAGAGCAAGAGAAAAGGCAGGTAAAAGTGCTTTTTATTGGTACGCAAGGCAGAAATGAACAATTAACCCTTGGTAATTGTTTCCTGTCCCCAGAGTACAGCTTTGATATTCTTATACTTACAGACTTATACAGTATGGTGATGAATTTAAGTTTCAACAGTGCAGCTAGTATAAAATATTAAATTATAAATGTTCCACCCAGCCACCCACGCACTAAGCTTTTCCTTCCTAGCTTGGTCCTTGTTTCTATCTGCATTTAGTTTATAGTGTTCTGCCAGTTTAATGCTGTCTGAAAGCCAATTTCTGGTACCTTGCATTAATTCAATATAGGAATTAAAGGACGAGTGCAACTTTGAACAAAAAACAAATTCCATAGGTTGTTGCTCGTTTTGAATTGCAGTATACTGGGTAGACCCAGTTTACCCAGGTTCACTATTTTGCATGCCTGAAATCAACATTTTTATATAGAAGTCCCTAATAACAGCTGGCAGCTAAACAGTTAAATTCTAGGAGCTCCTGAGTGGAAGGAGGTAGCCTGAAGTTCCCATGTTACATAGCAAAAGGTACTCGCTCATTGCTTAAAAATGAAAAAAAAATGAAAGCAATAAGCGAACACATATAATAGGATGTTGGGGATTATTCCTTGAAACAACTGTGTGTACAAAGTTCTTTGGCAAAGCTGTATGCAGACATCTCCACCAGCCAACAGAAAAAATATATTTGGGCAATGCAGAATTTTGGAATATCCTATTTTAGAGCTCTCATGGGACTGCAGGAACACCCTTTCACAACTGCGGATAAATAAGAAAGCAAAAAAAGTGAAAGTTGTATTTGCAGAGATCATCTACTGTTTACCGAAAACGGAATGAGGCCTACAAAGAACAAAAACACAGTACCTACGGTAAAATATGGTGGAGGTTCAATGATGTTTTGGGGTTGTTTTGCTGCCTCTGGCACTGGGTGCCTTGACTGTGTGCAAGGCATCATGAAATCTGAGGATTACCAAAGGATTTTGGGTCGCACTGTAGGGCCTCTTCATACGTCAAAAAGCACTCAGAAATGGATGGCAAAGAAGCGCTGGAGAGTTCTGAAGTGGCCAGCAATGAGCCCAGATCTAAATCCCATTGAAAACTGTGGAGAGATCTAAAATTGCTGTTGGGATGCTTAGATATTTGGGCTAAAATTTTGATCTGTTGTTTTATTTAAACTGCCAAAACTCAGGAACCCTTTCACAATAAGTAAGAATTATGTGATTCACCTATAACAGTTAATTAAAATTGAAAGCAGATGGACATACTGTGCCACTGTCACTGTATATTGTGGCAAAATATCAACAATCCAAGGTTTATCTGTTTTACCTTTGTAGATGTTTTACTGTAGCTATGGATGAGGAAAATGAGTGAGTTAGATCATGTTCAAGACATTCAGCTGGGGCGAGCACTGAACTATCCGTCGACATTTTTGGAAACTCGGACCCCACTGACACAGAGACCAAGAGGGCCCAGCCTTCTGGGGTGGACAGTAGGGGCCCCATGAGATGCCCCTGAGGTATGTTTTGGGGTTGTTTTTTTTCATGGGCTTTTTTGAGTTTGGGAAAGGACACAGGGGCACCATGATCCCCTATTGCCCGGGGGTTGTCAGTCCGCCCCTGATCTCAAGTACAAGCTGTGAAAATGAAACCTCTCATGGGGTTACTATTATTACTTCTGTTGATTAGTTTAGCATTTTTTTTCGTATTTAGGGTATCACAGTAGAATCACTTCTTTGAATTGAGGGATCCCAAATGAACTGTTTGGGCACATTTTGGATAACCTTCCAGTAGAATCACTTCTTTGAATTGAGGGATCCCAAATGAACTGTTTGGGCACATTTTGGATAACCTTCCTTGGGGACTTCCTTTAAGCTTCCTTTTAGACATAGCATGGAAAATCTAAACCAGGGGTGTCCAGCTTGCGGTCCACAGGCCACACGTGGCCTAAGATGGCTATGAATGCTACCCAATACAAAAATAAACTTTAAAATGTTGATTTTTTTTTTTAGTAAACGTGCATTTATATTTGGCGAACACATGCTGCTGAAGAAAAAATTTGACAGTGTTTCTTTACTGAACTTTTAAAAGTTTTTTCTTCCCAAAGAAAAATATCCCATTCTTCACAATCACTCCTTATTCATGTCATCAGTTTTTGGCAGCACCTATATTTGTGAGCAACTATTTTCAAGGAAGAAGCACACAAATGACAAACCAAAATACTGTTTCTGATGAGCACATTAAGAATTCTTTGCTACTACATCCATCAAACCAGATATTGATGTGTTAGTTTATCAAAAACCGTGTCAAATATTGCAATCGTTTTATGTTGTCGTCTTTTTTATACTAAAAAATATTAGAAAACAAATGAAGTTTTTTTTTTACTCATATAGGTAGATTATCTATATCAGTGAACATTAATTTGTAATCTACATGACTTTTTCTGCTCATCAGCTATATGTTTATTTTATGTGTGGCCCTAGATCAGGGGTCTCTAAACTTTCTAAGCAAAGGGCCAGTTTATTGTCCTTCAGACTTTTGGGGGGCCAGACTGTGACCATTGGAAGTTGAAAATGCCCCAGTGTCAGTGGGAGTAAACAATTCCTCAGGCATGGCTGTCAGTAGGAGTAAAAAAAATTATAAAGCACATGTGGTTAGTAGGAGGAAGGATAATGTCCCATCATTGGTATTGGTGGGAGGAATACCGTCCAATCATTGGTGTTAGTGGAAGAAATAGTGCCCCATCACTGGTGACAATGGGAGGAAAAATGCCCCACTACTGGTGTCAGTGGCAAGAATGGTGCCTTAACCTTGATGACAGTGGGAGGAATAATGACTCATATCAGTGGGAGGAATAGTGACCCAAAGGCCAGCTAAAGGCAAGCAAAGGGCCACATTTTGAAGATCACTGTCCAAGGAAATTCCTCTTCTTCCAATGTGGCAATGGGAGGTAAAATGCCCCACTACTGGCGTCAGTGGCAAGAATGGTGCCTTAACCTTGATGACAGTGGGAGGAATAATGGCTCATATCAGTGGGAGGAATAGTGACCCAAAGGCCAGCTAAAGGCAAGCAAAGGGCCACATTTTGAAGATCACTGTCCAAGGAAATTCCTCTTCTTCCAATGTGGCCAAGTAAAGTCAAAAGGTTGGACATTCTTGACATAAACTGTAAACTCAGATGGTCTAGGATGGAGAGCAGTCTGAATCCGTGACCAGGCAAAAAGAAGAGCTGGCTTTCCCGCTTACACTGTACCTTCTAATACCTTCCAGGGAAAGTAGATTGAAAAAAATAAAAACATTTTTAGTTGGGATCTTTCCACAGTCAAAAACATACTAATAGGGTAATGACCATCAGATTACTTCTATAGTGTGCAGAGGAGTATGGTAGGAACATTAGATTGTGAAGAGGGGTCCATATAAATATTAAAAATAGCAGGTCACTCTGAATAAAATTAATTATTTTCTCATATCACTGACCTCCCTAATCCAATGGAACAACTGATTTATGCCCTTTGTGTAGCGATGCATTGGGTAATCTCCAACCATTGGATGTCCCCTGATATCCCCTTTTCTCAAGTGGTTAGCCGAATGGATGCTATTATGTTGATGGAGGCAATTTTCTACTCTTTACATGACTCTAAAGCAAAATTTGATGCTAAATGGGACTCTTGGTCTTTACATCATATCGTTTACCAGCTCCAGAATAATTAAAGAACACTAGCCATTTTATGTATTGGCATCTATACTTTGCTATATATAAAATATCCTTGCTTTATTTCTTTTATGATTTTTATGTATGACATTGAAGGTGTCTATGTTTATGTTTTATCAACAGTATATGTTTACATAGGATAATTAGAATTTGTGTCATCTTTCATCAATGTGCGCTTGGTGGGAGCACTCTAT